TACTTTTGCCTCTCTGTCATGTTCCTTCCTAGCTTGAATTTTGCTAATAATGATTGTTGCTGGATTATTTATTGTCTAGTTAGACACAAGCATTTTCATATTAGTGTACGTCCTGGTACATCTGCACATAGTCGGAGGCGGCAGACCCGGACTCTGCAGGCTCCCGATGGAGTGCTCCCGCGGTGGCTTCTTTCACTCGCAAGGACATTCAGATGTACCTCCACATGAGACATGATAGAACCACACAGGTAAATTCTCATTTTTCTTTGTTCCTCTCGTGAGCTTCAGTTTTTGCTTGTTTCCTAGGAGCATGAACTATGCTTGTGGGCGTAGAGATAATATGATAGTTATTCTATTCAATCCATGGCCAATAACAAGTTATAGTAAAAATTAAAAATTAGTGTCTATCAACTATGAAATTGATTAAATTGACTTTAGTGCATAGGGATAATTTGATCACGATTCAAGCCATGGCCAATAACAAGAAAATCAGTGTCAACTATAAATTTATTAAATTGGCTTCACTACAATGGATAGAACTTTTTATATAACAAATCGAGTATCTTAACGAGCGAATGTGAGGAATCTTGTTCTGGGGCGACCAGTCCTCTTGTCGCTCAATCTGCTGCAAGCACGTGCGGTGATGATGGGTAGGAAAAGTGGACTGAGCTATAAATTTAAATTGTTCATAACAATTTGATTAAGTTGGCTTCGGTTCATGGAAGAAGACTTGATTTTCTCGGTCATCATAGTAGAGGTAGAGCTCCCAATGATCAGTTGCTGCAGATCTGAGTTGTACAGTTGGAAATTGGTGCAGAACAATTAGCTTAGAACTATGGGCCATTGACTTAGGTATAGGAGAGTTAGTTCAGAACTACGGGCCTCTGATTTAGGTATAGGATAATAATTTGCAACCCATTTAAGTCATAGCTCAGGAACCCATTTAAGTCGTAGCTCATGAACTTTCAGACAGACTATGCTAGACATAACTTTATCTGCAAGTACATATGTATAACTTTCATTTGATAATTGCCTCCATAGAGGACTGATAGAATAGCAATCGCACGCTAAATTCTGGAAAGCATGATTAACAAGTAACTGGCAAATATAGACTGGACACATGAGAACTTCAGTAACAGCACATGGTGACGCATTAGAGATATGCATATGGGCAAGGCATTGCGATGCATTCAGCGCACGGGGTCTTCCGCGTAGCTGCAAGGTCCGCGTTTCGCTGAGCCCGCAATGCCTTCCTCTCATCCGGTGGTATGCTCTGCCTGCGTGCTCTTCGACGGGCGTTCATCTCTTGCCTCTGCTCAACTGGTATATTTTTACTCGCTGCCCTTCTACGGGCATTCATCTCTTGCCTCTCCTTGGTTGTCAGATTTTGTCTGACAGCCCTTTGGCTTGCATTCCTATCTTCAATAGTTTTATTTTTTCTAGATGCTCTTCGACGTGCATTCACTTCTTCCCTTTGCTCGGGTGTTAGGCTATCTCTCCTTGCTTTATCACGGTTCCGTCTTTGTTGATTTTTGTCTTCTTTAACGCTTGCAAGGGAAGCAATATGTTCAGCACCACTCGGTGCTCCTTGAGGTGCTGTAGGGTTTTCTGCATGGCCAGTGTGTAATTTGTTAAATCCAAGACTCACATTGAAGCAATATACCTAGTACATGGTTAGACTTAATAAATCTAGATGTATAGATGACCATACTTCAATGGTAGAAACGCCGTGTGAAAGGGTAATACCATTTGATGTTCCCACATGCTCCTGTGGCTTCAATGCTGTCATGGTACCGGCTGTGGGAAGCATTGTAGCTGATTGGGTGGACGCTTCACATATGAACATTCTGTATGACTGTTCCACAACAACAATTAAGATTACAAGATGGTCAGCTTCAAATCATCAATTAAGACATTATGTCTCCACAATTTGTTAGAGAATACAGGTAGCTTTTTCCCTTATAAGAACATATTATAAGTTCTTTTGTAGTAGTTCGCCATGAAGATCCACAAGAAAGACGGCACCACGTCGGAGAAACAGATGGCTCTGTCAAAAGGTGAACTCACCTTCGGGTGATGAAAGCGACGCTGAGAGGGTGATAATAAACTCATGTGACCTCCATGGTGACCTGGTGTGATCTCCCGGTGATGTATCGTCTTGGTGACCTGGTGTGATCTTGCAGCGATATATCGCCTTGCTTGATGGAGAAACGTACTACTTAAATACATACTCCTACCAAATATGGTGGAGATGTTTGAAGGCATAATCAATCTTGTCGGGCTTTCCTTATCTCGTGCCTGATGTTTAGTATGTAATAATTAGGCTAATTATTGTTAGGATTCTCTGTGGGTTTTTCCCACATATATTACTTTTGCACTACGAGGGTGAGGAAGGCTAATTGTTGTTAGCACGTACTCAGGCTAGGAGGGTGGGAGGAAGGCTACGATGGTGCTGATTTTTTGGGTTTGTTTCCATATTATTGTTTGGATTCTTTTGAATTGTTTCCATGTATGACTTTCACGTGGGAGGGTGTGATGAAGGAGTGGTGAACGAACGAAGGGGAGGCGAACGAGCGAACGACGTACGAACGTACCATCACAACCGCAGACTCCTCCTTTAGGAGTAGAGATAT